GAAGGTCCCCAAAATGGGGGAGGTCCCATGGAGGGGGTGCCCAAAATGGGGGGTCCCATAGTGGGAGGGGTCCCATGGGTGATGTCCCCAAAATGGGGACAATCTCCAAAATGAGGGGTCCCATGGAGGGGGTCCCCAAAGTGGAGGTCCCCAAAATGGGGGGGTCACCAAGGTGGGGAGGTCCCCATGGTGGAGAGGTCCCCAAAATGGGGGGTCCCATGGAGGGGGTCCCCAAAATGGGGGGTCCCATGGAGGGGGTCCCCAAAATGGCCAAAAATGGGGGGGTCCCAATGTGGAGAAGGTCCCCAAAATGGGGATGGTCCCCAAAATGGAGGGGTCCCATGGAGGGGGTCCCCAAAATGGAGGGGTCCCATGGAAGGGGTCCCCAAAAATGGGGGAATGGGGGTCCCCGAAGTGGAGAAGGTCCCCAAAATGGGGGGGGTCACAAAGGTGGGAGGTTCCCCAAAATGAGGGGGTCCCCAAAATGGGGATGGTCCCCAAAATGGAGGGGTCCCATGGAGGGGGTCCCCAAAATGGAGGGGTCCCATGGAAGGGGTCCCCAAAAATGGGGGAATGGGGGTCCCCGAAGTGGAGAAGGTCCCCAAAATGGGGGATCCCATGGGTGGGAGGTCCCCAAAATGAGGGGGTCACCAAAGCCTGAGGGGTCCCCAAATTGGAGAAGGTCCCCAAAATGGGGGGGTCACCAAGATGGGGATGGTCCCCAAAGTGAAGAAGGTCCCCAAAATTGGGGGGTCCCATGGGTAGGAGACAATCAAAATGGGGTCACCAAGGTGGAGAAGGTCCCCAAAATGGGGGGGTCACCAAGATGGGGATGGTCCCCAAAGTGAAGAAGGTCCCCAAAATTGGGGGGTCCCATGGGTAGGAGACAATCAAAATGGGGTCACCAAGGTGGAGAAGGTCCCCAAAATGAGGGGGTCCCCAAAATGGGGACGGTCCCCAAAATGGGGGGTCCCCCAAATGGGGGGGGTCCCATGGAGGGGATCCCCAAAATGGGGACAGTCCCCAAAATAGTCACCAAGGTGGAGAAGGTCCCCAAAATGAGGGGGTCCCCAAAATGGGGACGGTCCCCAAAATGGGGGGTCCCCAAATGGGGGGTTCCCATGGAGGAGATCCCCAAAATGGGGACGGTCCCCCCAAAATGGGGGGTCCCCAAATGGGGGGTTCCCATGGAGGAGATCCCCAAAATGGGGACGGTCCCCAAAATGGGGGGTCCCCCAAATGGGGGGGGTCCCATGGAGGGGATCCCCAAAATGGGGACAGTCCCCAAAATGAGGGGGTCCCAAAATGGAGGGGGGTCCCCAAAATGGGGATGGTCCCCAAAATGAGGAGGTCCCCAAAATGGGGACAGTCCCCAAATGGCTCCCCAAGGCCTGGGGGGGGTCCCCAAAGTGAAAAAGGTCCCCAAAATGGTGGGGTCCCAAAATAAGGAGTCCTATGGGTGGGTCCCCAAAATGGGGACGGTCCCCAAAATGGGGGGTCCCAAAATGGGGGTCCCGTGGGTGATGTCCCCAAATTCGGGTGGGGGGTCCCCAAATCGGGGTGCGGGG